TAGCAGCATGCGATTATGCAAGTTTGCTCTCTTCTCCTCCACCAACAACCGTTTCTCTGCCTCATCCTTCACTTCAGACAACAGTTTGAGGAGAACTTTCTTCTCTTCCTCACTCTTTGCTGGCAGCTCCTCCCGAAATCCAAACTGGCCTAGCCAGTCCATTGCCTCCAACTGGCGCATCCGTATGCCACCCATTTGAATGCTCTCGGCCTGCTCCACCCGTGGTTGACCTCTCCTTCTTTCCAATCTTTCTCCCACATCTTCTTCTTCTTCTTCTTCTTCTTCTTCTTTTTCTTTTTTTAATCCTTCCATCAACTTCCTCTCCTTCTCCTTCCTCTCCTTCTCCAACTTCTCTTTTTCTTCTTGCAACCTCTTCTTCACTTCGTCCTCCTTTTCTTCATCTTTTCCTCTTCTTTCTTCTTTTCTGCTAGGTGGCGATTTACCTCAGCCTGTTCTTCAACTGTTCGAGCCTGTGTTGACTTCCCAGACCTCGGCACAGCATGTGAGAAGAGGGTTCTCTGAAACCCAAGAGGTAAGACAAAATGAAGGAGTGGTCCCCATAGCACTAACAGGGAAAAAAGTGCAAACATAGGATAGTCATCCATGGTGATCAAAGGCACAGGTACCTACCCTCCACCTCCTCACCACTTAGATCTACCCCTACTACTAACTACTAACTTCCGAGTGGGTCTAACTGTTGCTGACTGTCGTATACCTTCCCAGAACTCTCTCTCTATATATACATACATATACGACAGTCTGTAGAGTTTTCCATCTGGTGTGGGTGAGTGATAGTCTACTTTGATTTTGGTTAAGGTGGATTATCACTTACAGTGGAATCAGTGAGGGGATTCTACAGACTGTTGAGGGTTCAGCCTCCTGATGAGTCGGTGAAACTCCGACGAAACAGTTTGTCACAGCCCCTCGTTTGTTGTCCTCTTCTCCCTCTCTGCCTACGGTTTACCAGGCAGTTCTATTTGATGAATGACGATATATACTTTTTTATTTTTATGATTGGACTGGTTACTAGACTCAACTATGTCATGAGATTTGGTCCAGCCCAGCAGCAGCGACAAGAGGATGAGGAATGTACCAAACACCAAGACAGATCAGCAAGCAATACAGGTTTAATGGAGGGATGCACTTCACTCCAATTAACGTTCCGTTGATGAAGCTCCACGGCCGCTCCAACGCTCCAACGCAGCAGCAATCAGGTACGTAATCACCACTTAACAGGCCCCTTCTTCCTCGGCCTACTTCTCTACCCCCTTCGTCAGTCTTCTCCCCACACAACTCTCCTTCATATCTCCCCTCTCGCCGGCCTTAATCATTGCCAGCGATGACCAGTGGGTGTAGCGAGCAACTGCTCCGATACCAGTTTGCTATGAACCACACCGTTCATCACCAATGAGTGCGCAGATATATACCACATGCATGTATATGAGATCACATGAATTTCACACTGGAGACCAGAGAGACAAAGACCAGGTAGCGCAGCTTATGAATTTCAACAAGTTATTACAAGAGCAATAAGAGTTCAGGTCGCCAGCGCTCATCAGCGCGTACAAAAGGTAACCAGTTACCAGCATCAGCTCACAGGTAAGTATCTTCTCCTCCTTGCTCTCCTCTCTTTTATATCTCTCTCTCTCGTTGGTCTTCTCTCTGGCTATGATCTCGCTGTGTCTTCTCTCCTATCTACTTCTCACTGTGTCTTCTCTCCCTTCATGCATTGTTACATCTTCGACGCCACACGGGTCCTAGCGGACCCGACTTAGGGTTAGAGGGACATACTAGGGCCTAAAGGCCCGACCTTGGAGGTACTACAGGCCGTAAAGGCCTTACCTTGGACCAGACCCGACGGGCAGGCCCAAACGACATTACCGTTTGGGCCTGGCGGCGCTCTTGAGGCTGCCGCCCGCGGGTTGGGGCTGAACCGTCCATCTTGACGGTTCAGGGCACGGCCAGGCCTCGCAGCATTGAGGCTGGCCTCTGCCCCACCGGTACAAAAGTACCGGTCCAGCCTCAGTKAGGCTATCGACCTACCGGCATTCTACCGGTACGGTATGGTACAGCGCGAAACAGCGCTGGCGCTAAGTTTAGCGCAGGAGCAGCGAGGAGCAAGGCAGCGCAGCATTAGCGCAGCAGCAGCGAGCGAGCAGCAGCAGCGGCGACTGAGTGTACCGGCGGCCATAGCCGCCTGAGGTATCGGGAGTCGGAGGCCTCTCTCCTCCCTCCCGTCGCCAGTCCCCTCTCTCTCTCTCTCTCCTCCTCGGCTCCCTTCTTCCTCTTCGTCTTCTCTTCAGACTTCATCTTCTTCTTCTTCTTCTTCTTCTTCTTCTTCAGATTGGAGACTTGTACTAGTTGGACAGAGATCAGTGTTGGACTTCGGTGGTATGAGACTGTGGTACTTACCGGATTGGAGACTTGGAGATTGTTGGGGTTGATACTTGGCGGCATCACAGTTCGGACACCGGTTACATTTGGACTCTGTATCTCCGACGTTGGTGACTGATTGACCTCGACATTTTGATCTTGTTGGATGACATTTTGGACTACCATATCGGTGACCTATCGGATTCTATCTCGGTGACCTACCGGTGCTGTCTACCTCCCCCACCTCCTTCGTCTCTCCTCCCACCTCTCATCTGTGTATGTGTGTACGGGATCTGGGCATCGTCCATGCTTGGCCCAGACCCCACCATCTCACGATTGTATGTGTGTGGAGTGATTCTATGTGAGTCAGTCCGTCTATCAGACTTCCGCTGCATATATGCTCATCCTATATTGGTTGATCTTTGGTTCTGGCCATACTCATTGAAGTATGTAACATGCATGCACACTCACTAACCTCTACTCAAGGATCTACTCTGGATACATCCATTGCTAGTCTACTAACTCCCTACTAACTATCACTATCACTAGACGCTAGCGCAGCTGTGGCTGTCTTCTTCCTGCGAGCACATCCTCTTCCTCTCTCTCTCTCTCTCTCTCTCTCTCTCTCTCTCTCTCTCTCTCTCTCTCTCTCTTAGCGCAGCACTCTGGCTTCAGCGCTCTGCCCTCACTTTAGCGCACAAGTGCACCAACACTTCCACGCTACTTGCGAATGAGCAATCTAATCCGAATGGGAGGCTGGCAAGTCCTTCTGTAGTCTTGGATTGCACTTCAACTCGTGCCAGCCTCTGCTTCCTGGGTCTGACTGGGTTCCGGTACCACATTCCCACTGCCTGTCTGCTTCTGAGTGTCAAGGCCTGGAACCTTCCCGAATTTCCATTGGTCTGCTGCTGCTTGGGCCTTTGAGTCATGACTTCTCGAGTTTGGCATATGGATTTGACTGTGGATTGTGACTCCTGCCTCTGAGACACGACTCTTGCTTATGGGACTGCCCTTTCACTCGTGGGATGTGGCTTTTCAATGTGACTTTTCATTATGGGGCGTGACTATTGCCCCTGAGATGGGTCTGTTTGTTGGGTACCTGTTGGACTGGACTGCTGAGGTACCTGACTGTGACTTTTCTGAATTTGACGAATTCGGCCTTTCTTGACCAGGGCCTCTGACCCTATGACCCGAATTTAAGGTCTGAATTGTGGAAGGCCTTTCACCTCTGTAGAAGGAGATAATTTTTCGAATAGGCCATCTATGTTTCCACCCTCTATGAATGGAGGTGATGAAGTTGAAAAGATACTGGAACATGGCTATTTCTCTACAGGTGGCAGAGGAAGACCTCAGAAGCAGTATAAGGTACAGTTCAAGTCCTAACCTCCATCTGAAAGCCAGATGGTTTAGTAAGAAAGAACTCCTACCTACTGCTGCTGACATTGTTGCTGCATACGAACGTGGGATAAGGGAGAATTGATATATTTCTGCGATGGAACTCGAAAATTGGGCCGGCAGGAATGCAATAACCCATGCTGTATGCCTCGTGGAAAGTCTGAGGGCCCTTCACACCTTGTGATGAGCGCCAGGCCCCTTCACACCTTGTGATGAGGATGATGTATGTCTGGTCTGTATTGCGACGTTGATTGGGCTAGTCATTGGTATTCTACCATTCTGCTGTGCTGTGAGAGGTCAGTCCCGGTCAGGTCAGGGCTTATATCTAAGTCTTCCCCTGCGCTATTATGTGCCATTTTTGCATGTATCGGGATGTACACTGCTTGTTGAGATTCCACAGCACTGCATTGTCCATTCAGTCCTTTTCATCACATTGCGGATCCTTGGCTATTTAGATACATCGCCCAACTGGGCATGTATGTGTCTTATTTTTGTGTTGCAACAAACATAGATCTGCATGGCCAGGGGCATTATACCGGGGAAGCCACTGTTCCCTCTACCATTGTACAACTTGTGACAGCAATCACGACTGCCGGTTGTTCATTTGTCCTACCGTCTTCATCTGAATACAACAGCCAGTCATTCTACCTGTATTAGGGCAACTTTCAGTCCAGATGCAGCAATAATGACGGGGCGGCGGGCAATAGTGACCGCGCCGGGGAGCATTCGGTTTGAGTGGAGACTGTATCATGGAAAGTAAGAGAGTCTGTCGTGGCCAAGAGGAAAGCAAAGAAGAGGGGTATTCCTCTCTACTGTCTTCTCCTGAAAGGAATCATTGGAATTTAATGCGGTCATTATAGCTGCATTTTGAGCAGTTTTTGATACAGCCATAATATATCTTCAAGTTGGGTGAAGACGGTGGCTGTGCATGCTTACAACCTTCACCTAGCTGTCATGTTGTGGGCAACAGGTGATTGACAAAGTGGTTGGAGGGGCTGTTGAGATTTTCAGGGGGTGCTGTTGTCTTATTGTGGGTGGCAGCCTTCTGAAATTGCAGTGGTGATCTGCTGTGCTGCATATAGCAGAACCGCATAGCGACACCTCATCATAACTGGTGGCAGCCTTTGGCACAATAGCCGATTCTTTCTGGAGTATGTATAAAAGTAGAGAACCTCCTACCATCCATTTTCTACTGAGCGGCTGGTTACTTTCCTGGTGTGGTTGTCATACAGGTCCCACCCATGAAATTCACACGAGCTTATGGCGCTGCAGCTGTGATTGGCAATGCTATATACTGCATGGGGGGTGGACCTGCAGGAGTTCATCTGGTAAGATATGCCAGTTCTTTTTCTCAATTGCATAATATGATTAATGTTTTGGAAAAGATGTCGTGAACTTCATTTCTTGCCGTGGTAATGGATGCCTTCTTCACAATCTTTCAAGCTCTACATTTCGGTTCGGGTTCGACATCGACGGATCACGGGCATTTCCAGAGAGGTGAGAAGTGGAAAGCAGGGAAATGACGACGGAGAAGTAGGTGGAAGGATCCCCCTGAGGAAGACCCCGGGGCGGGGGTCGAAACCAGTCAGGGTAGGCATTACCCACCGGCACTGAATATAGTCATTTGACTCATTTCTGCTTTTATAGTGTGTTCTTCTGCAATCCACTTGTAACGGGTGTACTTGTGATATCCACTTGTAACGTGTGTACCTGTGAGCTACATGCAACACACACCTGAAGTCACCTCCATCTCTTGAAATGGTAATGGATCCCTTCTCCTTGGTCCAGTCTGTTTCTTCTGCTTGTTATTCTTGTGTTTTTCACTGTTGATATCATCATCAGTTGGTGGTTATAGCGAATTGTGGAGCTACTAAAGTACCAGCTGCTCGAGTATTTGCTAGACTAACACCATCCATTTCAAAAACAAAGTCCGTGGGAAACATGAGCTATCCAACCTGTAGGGTTTCCTTTTCCTTTTCTCATCCTTCCTTCTGCAGGGTTGCTGGTAATAGGAGTATCTGAAAAAAGTTCAAAAAAGGTGCGACATGATCAGAGCTATCCGTCGCAACTTGTAATGGTGGTACGACATGATCAGAGCTATCATGCTCAATTTGTAATGATGTCTGATGGCCAAGAAGACAAGTAGAAAATAGGAACACTAGACGTCAAGGAAAATGAGTGAGAGCGATAGATATAAAGATCAAATTGCGACATCATGCTGAATACCAGATAGTCGTGTACCAAGCAGGAAGGACAATGCACTGAGATACAAGCCAAATAGGAGCAGTAGAATGAACTCAAATGTCAATGTCGACATTCTGTCGCAACACCAACACTGTATTCAATGTGGCTCTTCTTGATTGCGCTCAACGCCCTGCCTATCCTAGCCTACACTACGTATGTGCAACAGGAGTCACTTCCAGCCGAAGACCAACGTACGTGACGAAGTCGCCAATGCAGACTGCCAGCGTACACCAGGTATGTGTCTCTTCTCCTCTCTGCTTCACCCTTGCCTTCCCTCACTGTGCATTCCCACCACCCGAAGACCACCATCGCCCACGGGCCTCCGCACAAGCAGCCAGGCTGTGGCCATCACTCGACCGCTGCCACCACAGCGCCCCTCACACCCCTTTCTAGCGCCCTGGCAGCCTCTCTGCATGCAGCGCAGCAGCATGGCCGCCCGGCATCGCAAAGCCAGAATATCCCCTGGCCTGGGCGCTCACTTTCCTTTATGGAAAGTGGGCCCTGCCACCGGCTGGGCTGGGCCTCGCGTGCAGGGGCCCAGTAGCTTCTTGTTGGGCCGAAGTGTCTGCGCCCAGGCTCATTCAGACAGTTGCCTGGGCCCGCAGCATTGAGGCTGCCCCGACTGTGCGACGTGGCTGCTGCATTCTCATTGGCCTTGGACCTCCAGCTACATCGTTGATTGTTTCTCATTGGCTGAAAGGCCGGCTTCCACGTCTGGCCTTGAAGAGCCAGGAAGGCTCATGGAAGCTTCAGATGCTGGCGAGCTGGGCGTAGATAACCAACTGGCGCTGGGTCACTGTCTGGCGCCCAATAATGCAGAAATGGCAAAAGTGGGGCCCCTTGTCGAATTCAGGCCCGCTTCACTTAGGGCGGGTACTGTACTTGCTGGGGACCCCTTAGGCAGTGGCAGGCAGCAGCCAAGCCGCCTATGTGAGGGCTCATTCTTCGCATTCCATCCCCCTTAGCTTCGAAAGTCCGCTGAGATGCTTCTACGCAGGTGGTTTCCCTTTTAACTTCCGTTTATACTCTGCGACCACCTGAGGTGCTGTCTTAGTCAGTTCCTCCTTTGTGAACCAACGGTCGTCTTTTGGATCCGTGCGATGCCTGAATCTGACGCGGTACTCGCGTGCTGGTTTTGGTGGTCTTCCTCTGCCAAGGGGCTTAGGAACAGGGAGATCTCGATGATCCACAATGTTGTCAATGTGCCCGTGGCCATCGGTTGGGGGCATCATTGATCTCCTCGATGGGAACTTATCAGTCTCAGCGAAAGGTGCAAGCTTGGAAGCATGAAACACGGGTTAGTGCGCAATCACATAGGAGAGACCAACCGGATCACTACCCACAATATCGAAGACTTCCCAAGGACCGAAATACTGAGGCATTAGTTTTCTAGAGACGCTCAACTCCTGTCCTAACTCACTAGCATTAACCCAGACTCGTTCCCCTACCTGAAATGTGGGTTGTCGTCTGTGTCAGAGGCAATCATGTCCTCTTGGGATTTTCTGATGTGCATGACAGCGTGCTGCAACAGCTTCTCATATTTGACACCAAATTCAGTGGTTCCAAGAGTTGCAGCTGGTCGGTTTTCAGGAGTGAGATGACCCGACCAAACACGGACTGAGACACAGTTGATTTCTGAGTTTTGCTCACGGACTGAATGCCTTGCTGAGTTTCCCACTTGCTACTAAGTTCTGCATGACTGTGTGTGTGTGCACGTTTGCTGGACGGCATGTCTGTCTGAGTGCTGGTTGGCTTGAGTGTGCGTGTGACCCGCAAGGGCGCTTGTTCGTCCGTTGGGCCCTCAGGGCCGGTACTTACCTGTGGCCGTGACATTGAGGATTGCAGCGGGGGGAAAACACTCAAGTAGCAGGTAGGTCGGTACCGCACCCTGAAGAGGTAGATGTGCGGGTACTGGAGGTCGAGCAGAAGAAGACAAAAGTGGCATTTTGAGAGGCCCAGTAGTTGTAGGCTAGGTCTAGGCGGGTACCAGTCCAACCAGTCTGAGTCTAGGGCCTGTACGGGCAATATCAGAGTCTGCAATGATGTTTCCCTCCGAAAGGGAGGAGGTACCGGTTGCTGGGAAGGCCGAGCGGCCTGGAAGTAACCGCCCAAGAGGCAAGCAGGCCGCTATATCTCCAGGCCGGGCGAAGCGCCCAGCCTCATTGTCGGTGTGCAAGTTTGGCGACACACTGGTTGGAGCACTGGCTGGAGCAGCGCTAGCAAGAGCAGCACTGCTGGGGAAGGAGCAAGAGAGGAGGAAGAAGGACAGGAGGAAGGGGGAGCGCCAAAGGTACTTACCTGGCTATGGTGGCAGCCATCTTCATCACCTTGGTGGGCGCTGCAGCAGGAAGACCCCAGCTGGGGTAGAGCTACGCCAAGAAGCTTCGAGGCAGAGGCAGGCATGGCGGCCTGAGCTAGAGCAGCCATAGCTGCTTTGGGTTGTCCTTTGGGCATCAAGGCAAGGCCCAGTAGTCCGCCATAGCCTCGGCCTATGAGAGAGAAGAGTGAGGGAGGTGGTCATGGCTATGGTGGACCTCAAGTGATCCTTGTAGTAGAAGAGGAACTCGGACATTGATTCTGGATCAGCCATTCAACATTGTATTATTATTTCTTGTATGAATAAGAGAGGAGTAAAGGAGGGGGAGAGTGTTTGGCGAACAAGAAGAGCTGTGTCCTTTGTCTATGCTGGTGTACATCATCTTCTTCTTCTTTCTTTCTTTTTCTTCTTCTTCTTACCCTCTCCCTCCTCAAGTCCATTCATTTCTTTCTGCAATTGGACGGCATTGTACTATCTGATGAATGTGTACTTCGAAATTGGCCAGGATCATAACAGGTTGCTGCATGCTAACCTGCGACTGTCCTGACAATGACACTATAGCTGCCACCGTCCTCAATGGTACGGGAGAAGTGCTGAGAACCGGACCACTAACTACTGGTTGTCTGCCTGAGAGAGACATGCCATACATAGGCGAAAAGGATGGCCCTATCGGTGACGGCGTCACCGAAGGACCTGCAACCGAAGGGGGAACTACAAAGAACTGGGGCTGCCTCATGACTGGACGAGGTCCGTGAAGTGCAGCCAGGATTCGCTTCTGGCCTGCCACTAGTTCAGCCAACAGTTCCTGCTGAACTACCTGTGTTTCTGCCACACAAAGTAGGGAGCTACTTAGCGACCAATCAACAGGATTCAATGTAGCATCATCTAGTTCTTCAAGCCCTCTTAGCTCCTGCAACCTAGTGCCTAACCTGACTTTTCTCAATCTAGCCCTTTCTCTTCTCTCTTCTACTTCTCTCAGTTGTCGCTGCAACTCATTATGAAGAGCTTCCGCTTGGAGCCTTGGGATCTCATAATTGTCTGGACTGAGTCGGGGTTGCTGGCTGACTTGCAAACCAACAGTCTGACTTACGGAGCCTTGGGTACTTGAATGAGTCCTGATGAAGAGGCCTGAGAAGAGGTATGTGACATGGTAGAGGAGGTAGCCGTAGTCACATCTATGCTAGCTATATTCCTAGCCCTGGCGCTGGCCTCAGCGCCCCTCTTCCTCCGCAATGCCGCCCTCTCCCTAGCTTCTCTCCGCAGCCTCTTTTCCTCTCCTGGACCTAACTCTAGGAAGGTCAAAGGTCGACTGAGAGCAGTTCTACGAGTAACCCTAAGATCCTCCACTAAGTCCTCCTCACTACTAGCAGCTTCACTCATGAGCTACAATGGAGTGTGATCTAAACTAGAATCCACACTGAATCCTACCTTAGCCTGACACCCAACCGAGTAAGAATAATCAATACATCTCGGTCAGCCTGGAGAAAATAGTCAAGCGGTAACCAATAACTAGTGTCAGATCCTATAGGCAACACTATTTCTATTTTTAAATCACTCTTGAACAGTTTTCATGCAGCAAAGCATTGATTTGGGAAAAGAATTCAACCCTGTACTACAAGACCCCGTATTGGCTATACATCCTCCATGTATTTATGCAGGATACGTTGCCAGTACTATTGGTTTAATAACGAAACTATCTGCAGCTGTCTGTTAGTTGTCAGACAAGTCCATAACAACTAAATAATCAAAAATAAAAATAATCTACCT